AAGCATGCCTTGGTTACTGTCCCAACTTCTTTGCTTTCTTCTTTGTCCATTTGGCAGTTGTTACTCTCTAGTTTTGACAGGACTGTGTGTGTGTGTACGCACGGGTGGTATGTGTGTGTGTGTGTGTACGCATGTGTGTGTGTACGCATGTGTGTGTGCGTACGCATGTGTGTGTACGCATGTGTGTGTGTACGCATGTGTGTGTACGCATGTGTGTGTGTGCGTACGCATGTGTGTGTGTGTACGCATGTGTGTGTGTACGCATGTGTGTACGCATGTGTGTGTGCGTACACATGTGTGTGTGTGTACGCATGTGTGTGTGTACGCATGTGTGTGTGTGTACGCATGTGTGTGTGTGTACGCATGTGTGTGGTCGGGTGTACCGTGTTGTGGCGCACACTGTGTGACCGCTGCTTTCGTTCGGTCCAGGGCAGGAATAGACACTGCTACATGTACTCCGGTGCTCCCCCGTTCACACGTCAGCATCATGGTCGCAACTGCCGATGACCCTATTCCAGACAAACTCTCGCATTTGTGTCGCGGGCACCATGGAACGGCGTTCTCCTATTCTCTATTCGTTGCCCGTCCGGGGCCCACGTGACCATTGTGGCAGTGGCTCAACACAACATAATTGTGTGTGTGTGTGTGTGTGTGTGTGTGTGTGTGTGTGTGTGTGTGTGTGTGTGTGTGTGTGTGTGTGTGTGTGTGTGTGTGTGTGTGTGTGTGTGTGTGTGTGTGTGTGTGTGTGTTGTGTGTGTGCTGTGTGTGTGTTGTGTGTGTGCTGTGTGTGTGTTGTGTGTGTGTTGTGTGTGTGTTGTGTGTGTGTTGTGTGTATTGATCAAGGGAAAACCAAAGGTTAAAATCCAAAGTGTGACACGTGACGCGTAAGTATTACAAAAAGTGATGGCCACCACCACCGGAGCTACCACCAGTGCTGTTGGTGGCTGGGGTTGGGGTGGAGTCGGCAACAACGACAGTACCGCCAATCACAGAAATTGATCCCATTTCTGTGACACAGTATCCCGTTGTGCGGACACCGCAGCACCCTCCGGCGCTTGATCCGTGGGTACAGAGACCACGGAGGTTGACCGCCAATTATTCAACCGAAATATATGCTAGGAATGGCCAAGGCCCACGCGGAGCATCGAAGGAGAACAGAAGCCAGAAGCTAGACGGAACACAATCTCGACACGTGGATGAGCTAGGGACAGTGGCACGGGACAGACGTAGGAAGGAGAACACGGATGGTATCAGACGACTGACTGGTGGTGAATATGAGTTGGGTGATGATGCGGCAGATGACGAAGATACAGATGACGACGAGGCGGATGATGACGAGGCGGCGGATGACGACAAGGCGGATGACGATGAGACGGCTGGTGGTGATGGTGATAAAACGGACGAGGAGTCAGGTGGCAGGGAAGGTGATGGAGCTGATGAGGGTGAAATTCGTAAGAAGTCAGCTGTGTACTTGCATTTGTTATCTTGTCCCGATTGTTTGAGTGTGTATGATGATTCCCACTTCTCTGTACTGTGTCGTGCCCGTTATGTCCAGCAGCAGTTGAAGGTCCTTGAAGCTGTTTGTATTCGTACGCATAAGCCCGATTTGTGTAAGCAAAAGAACATGTTGTAGCACGTAGGGTATTTTCGTGAGTTTGCACCCCGTGTTCAGGAGTTGTTTTATTTTATTCCAAGCAATACATGGCTGGGGTAGCCAATGACCACTTTGCGTGGCGATTGCAGGGTTTTTATAGCCAGCCACGTTTCTGCACTGTTCATGCCCATTTGTCACACTTACTCTTTATGGGGGGGGGGGGGTTAGGGTTAAGAGATTCTGCGGAGCAGAGCGGTTGTAGGGCGGCACAAAGGAAAAGGAAACGCAATGCAAGGCTGTTTGTAGAATAATGCGGTGGATATAAAAAATTGAACATCAAACAATTACAGTGTATGTAAGGTGAAGTCCATGTCCAGACCGGTTTCGCTATCTGTAGCTCAGCAGGGGACGCTTCAAGGAAAGCCGTGGACTAAAAATTATAAATGTGAGTACCTTTATATTGGCGGCCTCGGCGTAAGTCCATACACCCACGCACCCTCGGCGTAAGTCCATACACCCACGCACCCTCGGCGTAAGTCCATACACCCACGCACCCTCGGCGTAAGTCCATACACCCACGCACCCTCGGCGTAAGTCCATACACCCACGCACCCTCGGCGTAAGTCCATACACCCACGCACCCTCGGCGTAAGTCCATACACCCACGCACCCTCGGCGTAAGTCCATACACCCACGCACCCTCGGCGTAAGTCCATACACCCACACACCCTCGGCGTAAGTCCATACACCCACGCACCCTCGGCGTAAGTCCATACACCCACGCACCCTCGGCGTAAGTCCATACACCCACGCACCCTCGGCGTAAGTCCATACACCCACGCACCCTCGGCGTAAGTCCATACACCCACGCACCCTTGGCGTAAGTCCATACACCCACGCACCCTCGGCGTAAGTCCATACACCCACGCACCCTCGGCGTAAGTCCATACACCCACGCACCTTCGCCAGCACAAGTCTAGGTCCTCTGTGGAACCCACTACTCGCATTTTAGTTGTGGGTTTGGGTTTGTAGCTCAGTAGAAAAATTCTAGAATATTGATTTTTAGTACGTGGCTGATCCATGAAGTATGCATGGACGTGTAAATTAGCACAGAAATCTAGGGACGTTATCTGCCCAAGGCCGATAACTAGGCCATCCTTACCGAAGGTGATACCGAATACCGAAATCTCTGACACCGCCCGCGGCATCCTAAGTCTCGGTCTTGAAAATTCGTTCCTCACACTAACACTCTCCCACACAAATCTTGGGCAGATAACGTCCCTAGATTTCTGTGCAAATTCTCCTTCTATTCCCCACATACCAAACGAGCGCCCACAATTTGATTTAGCTCCCGGCGAGCCTCCGCCGCTCGAGCTAACCCCTGACGGATACATGATACAGATATTTTACTCCCGATTGAGATGGTCTGGAATAAATATCAATCAATTTTCTGGCCTTCCCTCAAGAAACTACGGGACCACAAGACTAGTCTCAAAATCGCCGGCACCCACCTTTTTGACGAACAAGTACGCCACAGCGCGAAGACACCCCATAACGCTTTAAGATACAAGCCTCGGAAGACCGGGCATGACCCTTCTGATGAGAAACTAGCCCAGATAGCCGCAGACACTAACCTGAAAGTGCTTGAAATCGAACTGACTCGCCATCAGGACCTCTTTAATGAGGCACGTAAGACCCTGAACACGGCTATTGCTGACCTTCCACGAGCAATCGACTCTATCATAAGTGAGGCAATTAATGACACCACGCTCATTCATCGCCCGAGCCTAGCAAAACACATTCTCACATTATCCGATAAAACCAAACCACCTAAATCTAGTCTACAACCAAACAAACCAACATATACAGACAAACCAAATCTGCCTCTACTGGCCCAACCACCACCGCCAGCCTCGCAACAGCGTTATAATCAACAGGTTGCTAGACGGAAACAAAACTATACATACGCACCACTGACGGTTAATAAACCGCCCAAGGCTTTCGCCGTAGGTCTGCATGACGGTGATATATCCACATACCGAAATACACCTAGGACTACCTATAAGGCCCCCTACCAACACCCGTCACAACAAATCCGGCCCCAGCCCTATGTTAATCCCTCTAGAGCTCATGGACCGCCCCACCTAACGGGCCCAACACAGCCCCCGCGGCATCTTCAACCCCCTCGGTTTCAATTCTATAAACCGAGAGGGCCGCCCCGCCTAATAGGTCCTATGCTGCCCCCACAGCACTTCCTACCAAGGCCGATAACTAGGCCATCACCTTACCCCCAGCTGAGGCGCCAACCCTCCTATTTTCCTCCTCCGCCCTGCTCCTGACAACTAACTGAATCACAGAGCGTGTCTAAAACGTCAATAACGCCGACGTTCATTGAGAGCTGCAGAGCTAATTTTCAACGAATCTTAAAAACACCACACATTTCACGATGATCGAGGATACCGAAATCTCTGACACCGCCCGCGACATCCTAAGTCTCGGTCTTAAAAATTCGTTCCTCACACTAACACTCTCCCACACAAATCTTGGGCAGATAACGTCCCTAGATTTCTGTGCGAATTTACACGTCCATGCACACTTCATGGATCAGCCACGTACTAAAAATCAATATTCTAGAATTTTTCCACTGAGCTAGAAACCCAAACCCACAACTAAAATGTGAGTAGTGGGTTCCACAGAGGACCTAGACTTGTGCTGGCGAAGGTGCGTGGGTGTATGGACTTACGCCGAGGGTGCGTGGGTGTATGGACTTACGCCGAGGGTGCGTGGGTGTATGGACTTACGCCGAGGGTGCGTGGGTGTATGGACTTACGCCGAGGGTGCGTGGGTGTATGGACTTACGCCGAGGGTGCGTGGGTGTATGGACTTACGCCGAGGGTGCGTGGGTGTATGGACTTACGCCGAGGGTGCGTGGGTGTATGGACTTACGCCGAGGGTGCGTGGGTGTATGGACTTATGCCGAGGGTGCGTGGGTGTATGGACTTACGCTGAGGCCGCCAATATAAAGGTACTCACTTTTTAGTCCACGGCTTTCCTTAAAGCGTCCCCTGCCGAGCTACAGATAGCGATTCGGTCTGGACATGGACTTCACCTTACATACACTCTAATTGTTTGATGTTCAATTTTTTGTATCCACCGCATTATTCTACAAACAGCCTTGCATTGCGTTTCCTTTTCCTTTGTGCCGCCCTACAACCGCTCTGCTCCGCAGAATCTCTTAGCCCTCACCTTTTGTAATACTTACGCGTCATGTGTCACACTTCTTTGGATTATGTGTGTGTGTGTGTGCGTGTGCGGGTGCGCGTGCGTGTGTTCCGTATTTTCTCCAATAAAGGCACACCGCATGCATGCATCGAAAGCCGGTACACCGGTCAATTTTAAGAAACAGTTATACATTTGTTGTGTACGTTGCACTTTCAAACAATAATTTAATTCTAGTATCTAGTTGCAGCGGTGGACACTTAATTACTCAACATCCGAGTTTCAAAAACAAAATAAAAAGAGCACAACCACGCATGGTGAAATGTGCAAATAATTGAACGGTTTTGTGCGTATGTATATAATAGGGTGCTGGAGCGAGGGCAGGGCAGGGGGACTATATCTGTACAGCGGTGAGTCTCGGGGTGCTGGAGCGGGGGTGGGCAGGGCAGGGACACGCTGCTGGGTTGAAACGAGCAGAGCAGCTTATCCGGGGGTATCCGGCAGCAGAAGCAGCAGCGTGAGTGAGAGTATCAAGCATAGTACTACGGTAGCTGAGTTCAGTGTGTGGAAGAAAGGTGGCATTGCTCTCTTGAGTCTTACTGCATATTTCACAACCAACAACAATGGCAGCAATGGCGGCAAAGTAGAGGAAGGTTACTGGACACCAGCAGCTTCTGCTCAGAATAACAGTGATGAATAACGGCTCAGAATGGCGGTGATAGTCGCTGAAGAGAGCGGCTGAATCTCATCACCAATGGGACTCACTCCAGATTCGTGTGCTGATTTACTGTTCAGAACGAAGCACTCACTTCGTCCAGAGTTTTCCGATAGGCTTGTCTGCGCATGAGGATATCGTGTTTTCGACTAAGGACAAGATTTGACTGTGGAGGTTGTCGATACTGGTATCTGCGTCCAACACCTGCACAACGGATATACAAAGCAAACATTAACATGTGAGTGGACGCATGCACTCACCCACCCACAACCACACCCACGGCACACATACCGTAAAAGCCTGCAAAAGCACGTTAGTGAAGGTGAAGAACATGGGAGTCAATTTGGGCCTGAGCGCTAATGTGGAACCGGGCGCTATTTCGGATATGTGAAATAAAACTAATTTTCACATCATGCCGTACTACTGACACTGGTGCATACAAGGCTAGTACAGTGTAATGTACATTATTCTGTATATCATGTCATTTTAGGTGTATTTAAATTTCGGTACCAGGGACCTGCCATGTTTCAGGTGTACTGTAGAATTAGGTGACCAGCCTACCCTTCACACACAGTGCATACTCTAGTGCCTTTTAGGTGTAATCTAAACTTAGGCGCCAGAATTCTCTACCGAAATTAAAAATGACACCTGCGATAATGTGCTACACAGTAGTTCTACATGTATTACAGTACATACACATGTAGCTGTGCATGCACTGCATTGTGTACTGTACACTACACTGCAGTACCGTACATACACATGTAGCTGTGCATGCACTGCATTGTGTACTGTACACTACACTGCAGTACCGTACATACACATGGAGCTGTGCATGCACTACACTGTGTACTGTACACTACACTGCAGTACCGTACATACACATGTAGCTGTGCATGCACTGCATTGTGTACTGTACACTACACTGCAGTACCGTACATACACATGTAGCTGTGCATGCACTGCATTGTGTACTGTACACTACACTGCAGTACCGTACATACACATGGAGCTGTGCATGCACTGCATTGTGTACTGTACACTACACTGCAGTACCGTACATACACATGGAGCTGTGCATGCACTGCATTGTGTACTGTACACTACACTGCAGTACAGTACATACACATGGAGCTGTGCATGCACTGCACTGTGTACTGGGGGGAGACGGTTCCAGTGGCCAGTGAATAAATACATGCAATGGAAGTAACAGCTGTTTGCCTGCTTACTGGTGTCAGTGAAAGTAGCGGTCAAAGTGGCGGCACAGAATGGTGTAAAACAATTTGGGTCCGATCATTCGCCCCCCCCCCCCCCTCACTTTTCTTCTAGCTATAACTAGGGATATCAGCGAACGCACTGCGGAGCGTGTTCGCGCATGTCTTACGTCATGCAGAAATCTATGAGGCGCACGGCCGACAAGAAAAAATGGCGATCGCAGAAATCAGGTCGCGGATCAGTAAAAAATTAAAATCGACACTCGACAAGAAGCCTGTTTGTTGGTTTGCTTGAGCAGCAGCTCGATGAATTCAGGAAAGGAGACATCAGGAGCTAATATTCTTCGGCGCCCATGCCTGGTAAACGTTCTCAAGCAAAGACAAGACGAAGGAAGAAGATGTTCGTAGCTGGATGAAGCTATGTTTCCAACAAAGAGCAGTACTCGTACTTGAACAGGCCACCTGGTGACCTCTGGTTGCGTCTCAAACTTACTTGTTGATTTTGCTCTAGCCACGCCAAGCAAGTTTCCAAGACTTGGGCTCCTACTCCTTTGTCTAGACAGCCATGACTAGAAACTACTTGGGCAAAGGTCCTCAACGCGAGAACAAGTAGTATTGTCACTGTCATTCAAAACTTCAAAAGCGCCATGGCATATGTGTGGTACATGGTGCCCAAGTAATCTTTCAATTATTTTCGCGCGAACGCCTCCGTGGATTTCCTCCAATCTTGCCACGTGCAGTCCACATGGTCAGGCCAATTCAATGACGTCTTCAAAAGGGGACTTCCCTGGTTAGATCTTGCCAGGTACCAGCCGACGTTCTACGAAATCTAGCTGACGATCGTCCATTTTTGAGCTGGAATAAAGTGCCTCGGAAAACCTGTGGACGACATCGAGAGCAGCGTAATAAACGATGAATGTATTCGTAGTAACCTTTGTAGCCATCGCCCCAGCGTCGTAGAGGGAAGCTTCGAAGTAGCTCGGCTGGTCTTCTTCCTCAGAAACTTCTTCGCCATTCCGTCCTTCTTTTCCATCCTGATTTACTTGCGAATTTTTTGGGTGTGGATGGTCACGGCTTGTCGGCCGCGTTAGATGTGCACGTGATCACCTGCGCAGTGGGCTGCGCAGTGCGTTCGCTGATATCCCTACTATAACCCTGAATGGGCACACAGCAACGGTGCAACCAAGTCTCTCTTCGCTGTTACTCCGAGTGGTTCATGTTGCAAATCACCCATCAGACAGCAGCTGATGTTCATGATCGGGATGATACTCATTCTGAGGAGCGTTTTGCAACATGCACCACTCGGAGTAACAGCGAAGAGAGACTTGGCCGTACTATTGCTACTTGCCTATCGTTTATCTGGCTCTCTGTCAACTGGACATTGGGCAGTCAACACAGCCTCAGGATACATAGACACGTGTCATTACGACTTCACGTAGTCGTAATAAATAGACATGATGCTGGCAAGTTGGTGACATGAACTGTGTGCATTCAGCATACAGTCATACCCAGCTGCTTAGCTGCACATGACCCAGAGACTGTGCGATGGGTGCACACGCATCCATCGTTGGAATCCCGACAAGGCCAGCACAAGTGTTCTTACTTTCCAATCGTCCGCTTTCAGCTGCTGGTAGTTGTCGTAGACGCGCTGCTGGAAATCGGTGCGCTCGTACCGCTCCTCTCCATAAGCACCGCGGCGCGCTGCTGCCTCCACAGCTAAGTCTAAATATAGCACTAGGTCTGGTTCTGGTAGTCCTCTATCAGGATTCTTACACCAATCCAGATTGAAACCCTGAAGAGACGCAACAAACACGGCAACAAACTTGACTATAAATTAAAATATACACTGTGCGGACACCAACTAACCTAAATTCACAAATTTTCAGTGTACATTTATTTTCGGTACTTTCGGTACATCCGTTTCATACCTATAATTCCAATACACCGAACAAACACTAACACACATATTCCAATACACCGAACAAACACTAACATACATATTCCAATACACCGAACAAACACTAACACAACTGCTTCTCTGTACCTAAGATTTCTGTTCACCTAACCTGGCCTTTTGCCCTCATACCGAAAGCATTGAGCACCTAAAATTTCTGAAATTAGAGTAACCCAAATTCACATGGGCAAATACTGGTGATTACAGAAACCTCAATTGCACAGCCAGTGCATGCTGTGGTTGGTACAATTTGAGTTTATAAAGAATTACGGATTTGCTACGATAGCACAGGGCATGATTTCTCACAGACCTGTTTCCCTATTGCCAAGACCAGGATGGTACTAGTCACCCCGTGTACAGGAAACCAGTTCTCCGTTTGCCAGGGCATACTAGTACTGGAGATACTGTGTTGCCATGGGAATAGGGTCTGAATACATCCAGGCACAACGCGCGTATGCGTGCCCTCCTTGAAGCAATGCTTGTCTTGGTTCAGATGGGCTCTGCAAAGTTTCAATTAAGTTGAAGTTCCTTCTCGCTTTTCAACACTAGATCATGTTAGTACCATGTTGTCACGGTGACAGCGTGAACAGGCAAGGCTTGCATGTATATCATGATAGTAGTAAGTTCTTTTTTTTCCGACCAGACCAGACAGACCAGACCAGACCAGACAGACCAGACCAGACGAGACAGACCACAGGACGCTTGCAAACACCAGCACAAACAGTTCCAACCAGCAACACTAGAGAGGTTGCGCACAACGAAAATTCGTAGCGCCGTAACGAATATTTTTAACGAAAAAAGCTAACGAATATTCGTCAACCGTGAGGTTGCGCACAACGCGTGAACGTTTTCGTAGTGGGTCGACGCGGCGGCCGCGCGGGTACGAAGAGTCAAGACAAGGAGTTGTAAAATATCAATATTTTAGTACTCCAGGTGACGAAAAATATTTTCGTAGATCTGCTCTGTTTCGGTCACGTTTGGACGGATCTTCGGAGCAACTTTCGTTACTCGAACCCGGACGGTCGAAATCTAACGAATTTTCGTTGTGCGCAACCTCTCTACTCACACCAGCAGATAGTTACTACTGACAAGTTTGTTTTGTTCCTTAAAAAAAAAACACTAAATAAGAAAGTGGGAACTCATCAGAGGAGAGCAGGCGTTGAATGAAAAGTGTTGGATAAGACAATACAATCTTACACTCAAGATAAAGATACTGGTGCAAGGTGTACATGTGTACACTCAATTAACACACATATGTGACAAACTAACAACAACCGAGGTGATAGCTAAGGTGCTCAAGAAATTCACCTGGACACGCTGCTACTGCAATGTATTGCCTGTCAAAAGAAGAAGAAAAAAAGACTCCATCACCCCTGGCCCATCAAAAGACTCCATCACCCCTGGACTCCATCACCCCTGGACTCCATCACCCCTGGACTCCATCACCCCTGGACTCCATCACCCCTGGACTCCATCACCCCTGGACTCCATCACCCCTGGACTCCATCACCCCTGGACTCCATCACCCCTGGACTCCATCACCCCTGGCCCATCCCAATCAACTAACCTCTTTTGCTGCGGTGAACGCCACTCCAGAAAAGGCGTAGCGATCAACAATCAGGGTCGTGCCCGCCTCCAACGCTTTGGTCATGGATCCTCTGAACAGTGTAACAGAACCGCACATACAAATGTGTGCGTGCGTGCACACGCGCACACGCACGCACACACACATGTACACGCACACACACACACGTGTACACGCACACACACGTGTACACACACACACACACACACACACACACAAGTATTGCTTGTTACCACGAGCACACGTTGGTATAATAGTTCTCTCAGAGGGAGGTGCTTGGAAGTCCGGATACTGGGAGACCCGAAAGAGAGAGAGAGGGCTGACTGTGCCCGTAACGTGCACAATCATGATCGGTTTCATTGTTGCAGCACGGCACCTGTAGTGTGGTGGCTTGTACGGCCCTGGACACCCTGGAAGTGGTACGAATGCTGCTGGACGTACACATGTACAAGTACAGTGATGCAATCAGAACTGGTCCAAGGTGTCAGTTTTGCACTTCGGGTCGCATTTCAGTGAACACAACTACAGTCAAAACCTCGTTAGGACAAACACTGATAAGGCGAACTTTCCGGCTTTAGTACGAACTTGGGCCAATCCTATGGTTGGCCAGGCATCCTATCAAGTCCAAATTATTCGTTTACGACGAACTCTGTACGGCGAACTTTCGCGAAGACGAACTAATTTCAAGTGTGATTTGAAAAAAATCAGCATCTATAGTCTGTTTCAAAAAGATTTACAATTAGGTTTGGGTCTTAAAAAGTATGAAGATAAGGGAAATTTGGACAACAAAGTACATAGAATGGCTTGTTAGGACACGGCAAATTGTTCTGTGAAGGTTTCGGAGCAATTGGATCAGCCGTTAAGGAGTTAGAATTTTGGCCAGGTTTCCGGCCTTTTCCCATGGTTTACAATTTGCCCAGGAAGCCAGTATCGATTTTTTATCAAAACCCACGATTTATCCTTTCCTTTTTGGCGTTGTGGTTATGAATGCTGTCTGCTGACCATGAAGTTGTGAGTTCAAATCCCAACCTATCCTCAAGTCAAACTTTTTTTCTTCATTGTTTTGGTGATCAAGCTGGTACAAGACAAAGAAGATGGCTGCACCAAACGACTTGTTGTTGTTGTTGGAGCTCGCGCTTCCTGCCGAACTGACTGACACTTGACTGGCTCACGCCATGTGAACACACCCACAACACTGCAATGGTGTGAGTGAATATGGAAGTCATCGCGCTGTAGCTTTTTTGAGATTTAAAAAATTCTAGTATTTCAAGATCGCCAATTTTTATTTGAATTTAGCAGTCAACGCCGTCTTCTATCAGCGTTCACAAGCGTCTCCTTTTCTCAAAATGTCGTCGAAGTCACACGGATAGCTTTGCCAAGTCATGGCCTTGGGAATGAGTCCGTGTCGATGTTGTTTTCGTCACACGGTGAGTAAATTGCATTGCAGCTCAAAGAAACTATTTTGGTCACAAAACGAATTGGGACCCATGCCGCTCGTCAACATTTACAACACTTTCGTTTCGACATGTCCTCTCTGACTCCATTATCGATACGAGGAAGAACTCGTTTGTTGTAAACCAGACGTAGACGACAGACGTACATGACTGTATCAACGTGAGTGAGTTGTCATTTTTCCTGCTTTCGCGCGGAATATTTCTTCGAGTTCACAGTGAGTTTTTCCAGGCAGCGCTCGAGTGCTTATACGGTAAGACGCCAAACTCCGCGGGCGATCGCCAGGATTGCAAATCTTTTTGAAACGGACTGTAGTACGAACTTTCGCTCCCCGTGGGTAAGCTGGCTATAGTTTTTTCCGATAGTCGAGGCCTCTTGTACTGGCAAAACATGTTACAAGGCGGATGTAATACTGTCATGAATTCATTGCACATTGTGCTTACCTGTGAAAAAAAATGTTTTACATTTACCACAGCATGCACCTTCACGTAAATACAATCCATGGCCATATGATATGCATATCAATTTTTTTGTCAGATCTGGATAAGAACTCCCGATAAGACAAACTTTTTTGGTCCCTTGAAGTTCGTCCTAACGAGGTTAGACTGTATAATACAATAATACAAGTACAGAGAAAATCAGATGCACAACAAACTCACTGCAGTTCCCAGCGATTGGCAGAGAAAAGCAGATGCACGCAATGGTCGTCCAGCTCCAGTTCCTTGCACAGGTAAGAGTTGATAATGCCACCGATGGCCGTGCTGCGCTCTGTGGCAATCATTAGACAGACACAAACACAGACACATAGCGTGATTACCAGATGAGATCCAGACTGGTCGTGAAATGAGCACAGTGGTCAGATGCTTGAGTATGCTTTCACACCATGCAACACAGGAACTTGAGGGAGATCGGTTGTTGTCAATCGCAGATCTGGAAACTATTCCACAATCTGCTTTGAGTCAGATTTGAATTTTATAATGAAAACTGGAACGATGTTGTAGCCTATAAGAACAAGGCTACTGCTGTATTCGGCTGAGGTTATGGCTAGGTTGGGAACTGTAGAAATGCAAGGGAAACAATGATGCTTGCTGACTACAACCATGCAAGCACATCCGCTCAGCAATGAATTGGAATACGCTGCTTGGGATGACGTACCATGAACGTTTCCGCTAGCAAGATGTATTGTCAAGTACTTTCACGTGCATTGCATAACACACAAGGACTGATGGAAGAAAATCAGTACACCTCTTCTCAGAGTTTCATGCCGCTACGCAATCATCAGGAGATAATGCTCAGTAGACTAAACAGCCACTGCCACAGTGGACTATATCCTACAAAGAGGGTAATAGTACTCCTTGGCACCTGGCCTGTACGTGGGTAATAGTACTCCTTGGCACCTGGCCTGTACGTGGGTAATAGTACTCCTTGGCACCTGGCCTGTACGTGGGTAATAGTACTCCTTGGCACCTGGCCTGTACGTGGGTAATAGTACTCCTTGGCACCTGGCCTGTACGTGGGTAATAGTACTCCTTGGCACCTGGCCTGTACGTGGGTAATAGTACTCCTTGGCACCTGGCCTGTACGTGGGTAATAGTACTCCTTGGCACCTGGCCTGTACGTGGGTAATAGTACTCCTTGGCACCTGGCCTGTACGTGGGTAATATTACTCCTTGGCACCTGGCCTGTACGTGGGTAATAGTACTCCTTGGCACCTGGCCTGTACGTGGGTAATAGTACTCCTTGGCACCTGGCCTGTACGTGGGTAATAGTACTCCTTGGCACCTGGCCTGTACGTGGGTAATAGTACTCCTTGGCACCTGGCCTGTACGTGGGTAATAGTACTCCTTGGCACCTGGCCTGTACGTGGGTAATAGTACTCCTTGGCACCTGGCCTGTACGTGGGTAATAGTACTCCTTGGCACCTGGCCTGTACGTGGGTAATAGTACTCCTTGGCACCTGGCCTGTACGTGGGTAATAGTACTCCTTGGCACCTGGCTTGTACGTGGGTAATAGTACTCCTTGGCACCTGGCCTGTACGTGGGTAATAGTACTCCTTGGCACCTGGCCTGTACGTGGGTAATAGTACTCCTTGGCACCTGGCCTGTACGTGGGTAATAGTACTCCTTGGCACCTGGCCTGTACGTGGGTAATAGTACTCCTTGGCACCTGGCCTGTACGTGGGTAATAGTACTCCTTGGCACCTGGCCTGTACGTGGGTACCGTAAAGTACCGTTGATCCGCCCCCACGCCATGTCGCTTCCCAGCTGGGTTTTCGGCAGGGGGCGGGAATTAGATCAAGGCTGTCAAGTGCAGTACGATGTACAACAACGTAGAAGTTCAGACTCGATGCGCTGGATTGTGCACATTTTGATCCTGGATTGGCAAGTATTTGTACAGCAGTGCATGCGTCGGTTCAACATCGTATTTCGTTGTATACGCCGAAGTCGCTTCACAAGGAGAAAATCGACAGGGGGCGGGAATTAGAGAGGGGGCGGATCAACGGTACTTTACGGTAATATTACTCCTTGGCACCTGGCCTGTACGTGGGTAATAGTACTCCTTGGCACCTGGCCTGTACGTGGGTAATAGTACTCCTTGGCACCTGGCCTGTACGTGGGTAATAGTACTCCTTGGCACCTGGCCTGTACGTGGGTAATAGTACTCCTTGGCACCTGGCCTGTACGTGGGTAATAGTACTCCTTGGCATCTGGCCTGTACGTGGGTAATAGTACTCCTTGGCACCTGGCCTGTACGTGGGTAATAGTACTCCTTGGCACCTGGCCTGTACGTGGGTAATAGTACTCCTTGGCACCTGGCCTGTACGTGGGTAATAGTACTCCTTGGCACCTGGCCTGTACGTGGGTAATAGTACTCCTTGGCACCTGGCCTGTACGTGGGTAATAGTACTCCTTGGCACCTGGCCTGTACGTGGGTAATAGTACTCCTTGGCACCTGGCCTGTACGTGGGTAATAGTACTCCTTGGCACCTGGCCTGTACGTGGGTAATAGTACTCCTTGGCACCTGGCCTGTACGTGGGTAATAGTACTCCTTGGCACCTGGCCTGTACGTGGGTAATAGTACTCCTTGGCACCTGGCCTGTACGTGGGTAATAGTACTCCTTGGCACCTGGCCTGTACGTGGGTAATAGTACTCCTTGGCACCTGGCCTGTACGTGGGTAATAGTACTCCTTGGCACCTGGCCTGTACGTGGGTAATAGTACTCCTTGGCACCTGGCCTGTACGTGGGTAATAGTACTCCTTGGCACCTGGCCTGTACGTGGGTAATAGTACTCCTTGGCACCTGGCCTGTACGTGGGTAATAGTACTCCTTGGCACCTGGCCTGTACGTGGGTAATAGTACTCCTTGGCACCTGGCTTGTACGTGGGTAATAGTACTCCTTGGCACCTGGCCTGTACGTGGGTAATAGTACTCCTTGGCACCTGGCCTGTACGTGGGTAATAGTACTCCTTGGCACCTGGCCTGTACGTGGGTAATAGTACTCCTTGGCACCTGGCTTGTACGTGGGTAATAGTACTCCTTGGCACCTGGCTTGTACGTGGGTAATAGTACTCCTTGGCACCTGGCTTGTACGTGGGTAATAGTACTCCTTGGCACCTGGCTTGTACGTGGGTAATAGTACTCCTTGGCACCTGGCTTGTACGTGGGTAATAGTACTCCTTGGCACCTGGCCTGTACGTGGGAAAGTGGTACTAGTACAGGAATGGACAGCGCAAAGATGAAGTGCAAGGCATAAATGTCACGCAGATACTAGTAGGCGTAATGTAGCATGTTGCACAGCATGCGCCAGGGTTAGCAGGTAAGGCATTGTGCTGCACCTGCGCATGGGTGTGTGTGTGTATTTGGGTGCGATACACGGCTTGCGATTACTGTACTCTGCTGCACTCATCTGCTGTAGGTTGTACACGTACTGTACTCACTTGATTAGAAGCCCCTCTTGAATAATAGCCCTCCCTACAAGGACTGTTCCAAAAATACAAGCCCCTCTCGAATAGAAGCCCGGACTACTATTTGCAAAGCATGGGGTGACCAGGTAGTGCCATGTATGAAGGTCAAGTGTGCAAAAAACATCTCGTGCATGTTCATATTGGTACATGTCCTGGTCGACGTAGTGTGTGCAAACTAACACGGGGCCGAGTTGCTGTGAATGTGAAAGACTCGATTGGAATAATGGTATGGAATGAAACATTAAAAGCCCCTCTTGAATAGAAGCCTCCTCAAAATTAGTATTGAAAAGTGAGTGTGTACGGTATGTATGAACATTGATACGTCAGTGTGGCGTGTGCCTTAGCAATAATGGTGTTGTGTGACTTGCTAACTGACTGGTTTAGAGTCTAGATTCCACACCGGCGCGTCAACGTTCATACATACATACATACATACATATATACATACATACATACATACATACATACATACATACATACATACATACATATATACATACATACATACATACATACATACATACATACTTCGAAGTACATGTACAGAATACAGCAGATGAGTGCAGACTACTGTAATTTCACAAATTTTCGGTGTACTTTTATTTTCGGTACTTTCGGTGCGTCTGTTTCATACCTAAACATTTCAATACACCGAACAAACCCTAATACACATAATCCAATAGGGAACAGCTTCCCTGTACCGAAAAATTCCGTTCACCTAACCTGGCCTGTTGCCCTCATACCGAAAATATTGAGCACCGAAAATTTCTGAAATTAGAGTATGTAACGTTGATCACAAGCCACGTACCGCACCCAGGTACACAAGTCACTTATCGGCTAGTTATCGCACCCAGGTATACACACATACAAGCCTTATGCACAGGGTTCACACTACACCTTCCCTCCTCGCATCAGTCAGTATTGTGATAACTGTTGCACGTTATGACTCACCGGCATATTGCTTAGAACTGTTACATGTAGTGTTGAACAAACTACAGATAACATGTTAACCTTTGTGTTGTGTATGCAAGTTAGTCATTATATATCTACTACACCGTTTGCTACTGACTGCGCATGCTCGCATATGGTTGTTGTTGTTACTTTACTTGACCAAGAGGAATGTCTTCCAAAAGCTAGTGTAACTGTTTGTGTGTGTCAGTGAGAATGCATGAGTGTAATGGAATGTTAGTCCGCAAGGGGACATAACAATTTGGCGACGAAGATAAAAGACGAAGATGTCGCGATCGAAGCTTGAAATATTTGAAAAAGGTGATTTTCGTGAGTATGTAGAGAGACTCACGTTTTATTTTATCGCCAACAGTATTGGACAAGTCGCAGCTGGGGCAACCGCGGACCAGGAGAGAGCGGCAGACACGCAAAAGGCAGCTGTCCTGATCAGTCAACTCTCTGCTGAGAACTACTCGATTCTGAAGAGTCTTTGCCTGCCGGACAAACCAGCGCAGAAAACGTTTGAGGAACTCGGAGAATTGCTTTCAGAGCACTTCAAGCCTAATGTCAGTGTGTTGGCGGCGACTCATAGATTCCAGAGGATTTGTCAAAAGGATGGAGAGTCAGCAACACAGTATGCAGCTAGACTAAAGCAAGCAGCCATGGACTGTAAGTTTCAGGCGTATTTGGACAGGGCACTCCGAGACCAGTTTGTCAGTGGGTTGAAGTCGATGAGTGTTACGAAGGAGATATTGTCGAAAGCAAAGGAGACCTCAAGTTTGGCGGACATTGTGACGATGGCATCAGCCTATGAAACTGCATCGAGAGAGTCGGAACAATTGACGGCGCAGT